TCAAATTTAGGCGGAATTGAGAAGATGATCTGTCATCAATTAAGACTTTCCATTTTCCAGTAATCACATATTCCATGATGCTAAAGGCAACTGGTGAAATGACAGATACAGTATGGTGGCACACATCAGATGAATGCTTATTGATGTATGTATTTTGGAATTACTTTGCTTGCATACATATCATTCTCCCTCCTCCAGTAGAATGTAAACTCACTGAAGGCAACAATTGTCTCCTTTTTGGTTTTTGGATCCCCCAAGTAGATGATGAGTCCTGACTCAGAGGAGGGGCTCAGTAGAGGGTTATTGAATTGAATGAGCTGTCTTAAAAACAAACAAACAAACAAACAAACAAACAAACAAACAAACAAAACCCCATCTAGACCTCAGGCCCCTGGAGATGTTGGGCATACACAACTCAGACAAGGCAGTATTATGAAAGGGGACATGCATGCTAATGCTCTCCACTTATCTTCTTGAGTATGTGGTTCCTAAAGGACCCGGGCATTCTTGAAATTTACCTCTATAAACAGTATGTATTGTTCCAGGCTTCTTTCTCCCCTCTCCCTGCTTTTTCATTTTCAATAGAATTTCAGTGATGATTCTAGAAATTGCTGAAAGTACACTTTTTTTTAAAAAAAAAGATATGAATGGCAAGGTGCTCACTCACGCTTTACCCAAATATTTCTTCTTTCTGAAGGCACAATCAGTTTTAATGTGGACTAAAACAGTTCTTCCCAAGCTATTCCTGAAGTTTGTGCTATGGCTTTTAAAAGTCCAGGCCATTTGGATGCTCCTGGGTCCCAGCTTAGGAAGGCTTCTCCAGGCTCCTGTCCCTAGCCTCACAGCTGTCTATCACTCATCACACTTTTCCTTGTCAGGGGCCCTAAATATGCTAAAGAGCGAATGGCTCACTGAAGCCTTTTCCCCTACAGCAGAACACCATTGGCCTTGTCATTTCTTTTTAGGGTATTGGGAGCAAACTGTGGTCTCTAGGGTCTGTCTGACATCTGGCTTAGGTTTTATGGAGAGACAGTTTCAGTAGAGTTGCATAGATAGATCTTTGAAGATCAGTGAAACATAGAACTTATGTTCAAAGAAGTTGGATTCTGACTTTTAGTGAGCAAACTTCCTAGAGCACTGAACTAACTCTGCTTTGGATTTGGTCTCATACTGTACTTGTCACTGACATGAAACACAACTTGCTTTTTCTCCCCACTACCAAGTGCAAGGAAGAAAACAAGAAAAACAGCTACAGAAGTCCAAGGTCCAGGGAAGTTGTGAGGAATCGGATTCAAATACAATGAGCACATTCAGTGTACACATGGCTCCCAGTCTAAACGTTCTGCCTTCTATTCTGCTTCTCACCTCGGAGCCCACATACAGCCCTGCAGCACTTGCGATGGGAAGGACTCAGGGAGCAATCCTGTACTTTGTTGGGCAGCATCGACTCAACCGAGTTCATTTTGTTCATGCAAGATACCCATACCGATTCCTCACGTGCCCTTGGACCAGTCAGAACCCTTGACAGGGCTGGCCCACATTCTTGCTGGCTTTGTACTCCCCGATAGGTGGTGGCCTACAGTATTAGCAGATGTAGCCAATGGGCTGCTTTGTTTGCTTAACTGTACTCTTAAGCTAGACAGGGCTGTATTGTGGGCGTTAAGTGTATTTACACATACTTAACATGGTGTTACTGTATTCAAAGTGCTAGGGAGGGAGAGAGAGACAAAATGAAACCAGCCCCTGCCCTTGAGGATGGGTTCAGCATATAAGCAGAGAAGTAAACGCAAGATACGGGCTAAGGGGAGTGGGTGGGAATCATTATCAAATGAGCAGCAGATGTGAAAATTGCTACCTTCCTCCCTTCCTCCCCCAAGACTGCCAAGCAAGGGTTGCACCTTCCCCTAATGCAGCTGCCCACTGCCTTTGGTGTTATTCTCCCACTGGGTGCGTGCTTGGATGTGGAGGGGGGGCGGGGAGAGTTGGGACTCCGAACCAGTAGGCACCTGTCCTCACCACACTTATTCCAGAAAAGCCTTCTGACCTCACTCCAAGTGCACTGAGGCCATGGATTACTATCCCCTTCCTATTTGCCCACTCACTATGAGAATAGCATGACGATAAAAGACACCATTGTAGCATCTCTTATTAGCTATAGGCTTCCAGAGACGCTGGTAAATTATATGCTGGGCCACTTCAAAAGCACAAGGCTGCAGAGCTAAGTGATTACTCTGGAGTTTAACACACAGCAACAGGCATTGAACAGCCCATCTGTTTTATTTTTCATTGGCCCCTCAAAAATCAGTAAGTATACCTATGATGGAGCAAGTGGGTAGCGCAGTGGGTACATAGAGAGATGAGCCTGGAATTAGGAAGACCTGAGTTCAAATGGGACCTCAGATACTTATTAGCTTTATGACCCTGGACAAGTCACTTAATCCTGTTTGCCTTTGTTTCCCCATCTGTAAAATGAACTGGAGGAGGAAATGGCCAACCACTCCAGTATCTTTGCCAAGAAAACCCCCAACAGGGTAATGAAGAGTCAGACACAACTGAAACGCCTGAACAATAGTACCTATGATCCATTTTCCTGGAACGGGCCATAGTTTGGCCTCAGCACAGAACCTCCCAGCCAGATGCAGGGGCCCCCTTGGGGAGAGCTGACTGGCCAATGCCTTGTTGTCCTTTTTTTCCCTATTGCACTAAAATCAGAATTCTGGGGTATAGGTGGCAGGCAAGGTCTGCCCTGGAGTGTACTCCCCCCAATGTGCAGCCCAGGCCACAGCCATCGCAAACACAGCCTCCCATAGCGCAACACCAGCATCCTCCAGCTTCATCAGTCCAGCACTCAGGTAGCATCCATGTTGAGCCAACCCCATAGACAAAGGCATCAGAGAAGTACCAAATCGTCCTTTTTGGGGGTTGGGAAAGATCTCACTTTATTATTCATCATTATTATCCAAGCACAGCACAAGGGCATTTCATATGCTTAGCCACACCTGAAACACCAGATTCCTACTTCTGGGAAAAAACAAATGGGGACAATTGAAGAGGACCTAAAAAAGACAAGCCCCTCCCACTAATACATTCCTTCTCTTATCTTTCTGACCTTCCCATCTCCTGCAAAGGAAGCGACTTATACAGAGGTGCCCCCCAAGGGGCTTGGGGGAGGGGAATACCAGTGAGAACTGCCTCTAGAAAAACACAAACCAGGTTCACCTCTTAGTAATAATCAGGATCCAAGATTAATTGGAAGGCAATTTAATCACTCTCCAGCATACTCATGGAAGGTTAAAATGTTCTTGTCAGGGGTGCATACACATCATTAATTTGCTAATAGTAAGTGTCCTAAGAGGCTCATGCTAGCTCTCAGCAGGCAAATAAGATTTCCATGTTGCTACGGCGGGGAAAATTTATTTTTAAATGCTTTATCTTTCTTATTTTTAATACAGCAGCTTTTATATACGTCAGAAAAGGTGACATTTTAAAATGTTTCTCCTTTCATTTCCACTATTATTCATCTGAATTGCATACTGAGCTAATTCACCACACTAGAATGCAAAAAAAAAAAAACCAAAAACCAAAAACCAAAACCAAAAACAAAAACAAAAAACCCAACACCTTTCCACTTAAAAAGTCTATCAGAACAATATTGTAATTAATTTATATGACTTGTGCTGGAACACAAGATGACCATACAAGATGAGTACAGTAAATAGCACCTTTTGTGATTATAGTTGCACATTTCCAGGTTATAATACTAACCATAGATGAAAATAACATCAGCAGGGTAAAACCAAAGAATTCCTTAGTCCGTTTGTTAACGAAAATTTCAGAACCCACCTCCAAATTCCATTAGCAATTTGAGTGTTTAAGTGAGGCCTGGGAACCAAGTGTCATATTGAGAGAAGGAGAGAATAGTGAACAGGGGCTTAAGGGTGTGTTGGTGGTGGGGTGGGTGAGTGTGGGGGGGAACAAGAGTATCAACACACACTTTTAAGTTGAATTTGAATTATTAACAACTCCTTAAGTATTGTCAACCAGCAAAATAATACAGGAAGCCCTGGTTTTTATGCATTTGTGGATTTCTGGTATGTATATGCTCATATAAGAAACTGAACAGCTGGCTCTCCAAAGTGGATTAGAGCTAGCTCCAGCATGCCCCTGGGCTCAGTAGACCCACAGCCTGGCCTTAGGGAAGTAACATCACCTTTCACTTTTTTGTTCACATTGCCTCTTTCTGACATTCGGCAGCATTATCTCCACATCTTTCATCTCAACATCTAACCTCACACCTAACATCCTAGTTCTTAACCGTAGGGGTGGAGAGGAGGTAGAGGGGAGAATAAGAGATGCAAACCTGAATTTTCAGGCTTGATTTTCCCCAGGTCTTTCTCTCTGCTCCTACACTTAGGAGAATCCTTAGCTTTCTTCAAAGAACAGCTCCAGTACCAGCTTCTACAAGAGACCTTTCCTGAGGTCCCTAGTTGTCAATCCCCCTGAACTAGTTTGTATATAATTTTATTGGTTTATTTGTGTGCACATCATCCTCCCTGCCCCAATTATTTTTTAATCTTTAGAACTTTGCCCAGTGCCTGGCACCTAGTGGGCAGTATTAAATGCTTTGCAAGTTGAAATGATTGCTTTAATTTTTCTTGTCCCCTTTATTCATTTTTCCAAGGTCTATAATCTAGTAACAATGTGAAAAAAATTTAATTCTTGATGCAAATTCTTAACCAAACTGTAAATTGACTTTTGGAACTGACCAGATATGGGTTGTGTGTACCCTTATTTAAAAAACAACTAATAAACAAAACGAAAACTTAACAATGTAACCATAGAAAAATTCCCATAGAGGCACCAAGAGGCAATGGAAACCATCATACAACTTTCCTGATATTCTTTCACATACTGTTTATTCATTTACAAATCAACACATGCTGACTATAAGAAGTATCTGACGAGTGCATTTTTATATTCAGAAACTTAATGGGACTTACCTATGAGGTTGATCTTTTGAGCTAATGTAATTTTTGCTACATTGGAGAGAAATTAGAAAAAAAAAGATGTTATCAAAGAAAGCACAGTTGGAAAAGAAAATGTTTTCATCTCATGTCAAGAGTTAACTGATGGGTAAATCTCTCCCCCTTCCAATGCAAAGCTCATACAACTACCAAGTTGGTATTCCTTAAAGCACACTTCCCTATAAAATGGTTCAGAATTTTAGACAGACAGACAGACAGACAGACAAACAAACAATTTACTTCCCCCTTCCCCATAGAACATAAAGTCCTTAAGGACAGAAGCTATTTCATTTTTGAAAGCCACCTGACAACGAATAGATGTTTGATGAATAAATGGATGAATGAGGACATGTTGAATGTTCCCTAAGCTGCCTGAGTCGATGCTGCTCCCTAACCTTCACAAGTAACTGTTTTGCTTGGTAGCTGATCAGGCTAATACATCTATCCCTTTCAGTGAGCCATCTCTTTCATCATTTTCTATTTATTCTCTTTCAAGTTAAACCATAATGATGGGCAGAAAATCTAAAGATATCGAGGAGGTAAAAAACCAAACAAACCCAATAGCAACAACAATAACTTCCTTGTCCCAATAGCCTCTCCAAGGAAAATACTTTTTTCTCCAATTGTAGGAATGTTATATGGCTTCAATTTAAAACCTCACCACGAGACTCTCTGACAGTCAGGACAAATACTGTGATATGGTATCTCTAAGCAGATATCTGAAAATCCATCTTTGACAGGAGAACGATCTTACCACTGCTTAAAAACACACGTGGAAAATATTGGTCTCAATTTGTCCACCTAATTTAGTGTGCAATGATAAGAAATCAGCAATTTGCAGTAAGCTGATTTTCTCATCTCAATATGTTTGCACAAGCAAAATTTTCTCCCTGGGGGAAAATGAAATGAAAAGGTTTAGGAAAAAAATGAAATTCAATTACACTTGGTGCATTTTGACGAATGAATGCATTTTCTTCAGAAAACTAAATTAGAACACAACAGTTTGACTAGAGATTAAAGTTGGAGCATAGTGTTTTTTTCCTTCCTTCCTTTTTTTTCTTTTTTTTAAATAGCTGTCCATTACATGTACGGGACTGAGCTGTGATCCTGTTGTAGCTAACTCAGTATTGCTCCCTGGCCACATGCTTTATTTGTAGGAGCCTCTCTGGATTTCTGTTAGTGTTCACAAAAACAAAACAAACAAACAAACAAACAAAAAAAAACCCAACCAACTAGTTGCTCATCACTCTCTGATTTCTGGTTTAACCTTAACCTACCCAAGGTTCCTCTTTTAAAATGCATAGTTAAGACTAATCCAGTCCATAGGAGACATTAATTATACTCTGTAGAATGTTGCACCAGCTATAAGCTATTGAATTCACCTATTATTTGCAAGGCACCATGCTAGGTGCTGGGGGAAATAGTCCTTGCCTTTCCCCAAGGTGCATATAGCCTACTAAGCAGGGCATTGCATATATAAAAATGATTATATAACATGACAAAATGGGACAGTGGCCAAAGAAAGATCCAAAGAAAGTCCTCCCTCAAAGGTGGGAGCAATAATGCAGTTCGGGGGGAGGGGCTAAGGCCATAAGGGAGGAGGATACAGCAGAATTGGACTTCAAAGGAAGAGAAAGATTTCAGATGGCAGGGACCTGAAGGGTATATGATCCAGGCATGAGGAATGGCCTATATAAAATATATGGAGATGGAGGAGGACAGGGTAACATAGCTGAAAAACAGTGGGCTGTCCATTTGGCTGAAATACAGACTGTGTGAAGGTGAGTAAGGGGAAATGAGGCTGGAAAGACATCTTTAAGCCAGATAGCAGAGGGTTGTAAATGTCAGGCTAAACAATTTGGAGGGAAAAATATGAAGCAATAGTTTGAAGGGATAGGAAGATCAAGGACGGGTTTGTTTTCTTTTTCTTTTTTGTTATTTTTCAGGTGTGGAAAGATCTAGGCATGTCTGTGGGCAGTAGAGAAGAGGCCATTAGATTGGCAGAGATTGACTAGAGAAGAAGAAGGGGGGGATGGGATCAAGAGCACAATCAGAGGGTTTGGTCTTCTGCAAGGGAAGGGCTGAAGTGCAAAAGTAAGAGGTGAGTGAAAACACAGGAAAGTTTTGCGTGTACGGAAGAGGAGAGAGGAGAAAAGTGAGAGGCAAGAGGAAAAGATGCATTTCAAACCTCAGTGAAGAAGAGGATAGAGGTTCCATAAAAATCAATGGGAACTGGAGGGAGGGCCTTCTACTGAACTGCTTTTCCCTCCCTGTATTCTTTTCTCTCTCCAGTCTGTTTTGTAGACAACTCCAAATTGATATTCACCCATAAAGCGCAGGCCCGGCCATGTCATCTTCTGATTTAAGAAGATCTGGTGGCTCCTTACTGTCTCCAACATAAAACGCAAACTCCTGTCTTTGGCATTTAGAGGCCTTCATGATCTGGCTCCATCTGGTACCCCAAGACCGATTTGACACTGCTCCTTCGTACATGGTCTGTATTCCAGCCAAAGGAACCTGCTTGCCATTTTCCATGTGGGGTCTGCTATCTTCTGCCACTGCACCTTTGCGTGGGCTGATATCCATGCCTATAATGTGCTACCTCTTGAAAGCTCGAGGGCCTCTCCTATAGAAGAATCTTTCTGTGGTTCCCCAAATCGTTACTGCCCTCTAACCCCCACTGACATGACTGACTAGTATTGGATTGACTTTTTTTCTGTGTTCATATTGCTTCTTTCCAAAAGAAAGCAAGTTCATGGGTCAGAGGCTGTTTCAGGTTTGTGTTGAGCATGGAGATTCGTGCTGGATAAATGGTTTTGTTAATCATTTGAAGAGGAATCATCATTGAAAACAAGGAATTGGATGAGATCATGAATGAAGCTTTAAAAAAAGAGGATGAAAGACAACCCTAATTAGGGGTGGGGTGGGACTAGATGATCTCAAAGGTCCCTCTTTGACCCTAACATTCTATTGCACTAAGACCCCTTTCTAGCTTTACATCTATGAGCCTGTGCTCTATCACGCTTTAGTACTCTGAACTTCTAAGGTCCCTTGTCAGCTCTAACATTTTAAGTTTAATGTTCTGTGTTTTAAGATGCCTTCCAGGCCTGACATTCTACAGTTCTACAAAATCGCCTCATAGTTGTGAAGACTTGGATTTGTCTGTGTGCATCAGAGAGTACAGATGCTAACAAGATCCAAGTAAGGGCACTCAAACAGAAGGGGCTACATTTGGAGTCAAGGAGACTTGAGTTCAAATCCTATCTGTGACATTTACCAGCAGGGTTACTCAGACCAACTGACTTCACCTCTCTGAGTGTGATCCACAAAGTTATCAAAACATCGTTCTATCCCTGCTCCCATCAGGAAGTAACTAAATCAGTCAACCTACATTTTCCTCCATTTCTTAGATTTTTACTACTACTTTTCTTATTTTAAAAAATGGCCTTCTTATTTCCTGATATTACATGGCTGAAAATGAAGACTCTTTTCTTTTGAATCTTGATAGGTACTACTCTTTTCTTAAAATGTCTCTTTTTGCATCCTGGCAGTAAGCCTTAATATAGTCATCAAACAGGAGGGAAAGGCTTCTTACTGAATTAGCCAATACAAAAAGTGAGCCCTTTGATCAATGCTCCCTTGCCAGAGTCAGCCAAGAGGATGTGGGTAACTTTATTAAAGCTGAATTGCTCAGCAAGGCTAAGCTTTACCACAGGCTTCAGACCATCTATACACATTCATTTAACTAGTGGTGCTCTAAATGTGAGATTTTGTCAGTGACACTGAAATGGGCATTAGTACAGGAGATTTTCCTTTGAGAGACAAATCATGTATTCAAAGTGAAAAAGAAATATCATTTATGAGATACTTGGTCATTTCTTATTGCAGTGTTTATAATAACAACCTTCAAAAAGGACCAACATAAAAATGGTTTGTGGGCGTGTGTCAAATCTCTTGCAGAAGATGAAGAGATAGAGAAATTCTACGAAGAACTAAAAAATACTTTCCATATTAAGTCATCCCATACTTTTATACTTGGTGACTTCAGTGCAAAGGTAAGCATAGGGAAGATGGTGAAAAATACATTGGAAAATATAGCTCAAGCTGGTGCATCACTAGAGCTTGGAAGTTCTGAATTGTAATGGGCTAAACTGATTGTATGTCTATACTGTCTGGCACCAGTAGAGTAAACTCCCAGGAATGAGAGGCCACCACATAGCCCAAGGAGGGATAAACTGGCCCAGGCTGGACACACTGCAGGTCAAAGCTCCTGTGCTGATCAGTACTAGGATTGGGCTCATGGGTGACTGCCGAATTTCCAACCACCCTGCCTTTCCAGGGCAAGATAAGAAGACCCAGTCTTTAAAAAAAATGAAGTGAACCATCAAGCAGTAGATGAATGTTCACCAAAGGTATTGTTCTGTGGTCCTGGAGAACGTAGAGCCTAGAATCCAAAATGGAAGAGCAACTCTCTATAGAAGAGGTCTTCCAGATAATCCTGCTTATGGTTGTAATTATTCTGATTGCATCAAACTCCAGAATAAGGTAGTGCCTCTTAAATAAGACTCATAATTATGCAAAAGCATTCAGCAGGAAATGCCAAATGGATGAAGAATGTCTAATATCTTGACTGTGAAGTACAGTTGGGTGGACGATGACTCACAGAGCAGGTCAATCAGTATATAAATCTTAGATGAACACCATAGATACACCATGCGCTGGACCAAGAATTCAGAAAGAAGAGAGTGAATTTCATTGCATTTAGGAAATATGAGGTGCTTTTCCTGAGTCCAAGCTTCTCCCTAAATTCAAGTTCCATTTTTTAAAAGCAGTATTCTTCTGGTGATGTTTTCTGTCTGTGAGTCATGGCATGTCACCATTTCTAACGAATTAACATTCTCTGTCACCCAGAGTGGAATGGTGAACTGCTTGGTGAGCATAAGTATGCTAGAGTATGCTCCATTTGTAAAGAGGAACTAGAAAATAAAAGTGATAATAAAACATATTATTAA